TGGCTTGGGGATGATAAAATCCCTTAGCTTTTTTTTTTCTGGGAAGCTCTTTATCTGTCCTTCAACTCTAAATGACAGCTTTGCTGGATAAAGTATTCTTGGTTGTAGATCCTTGGTTTTTATCACGTTGAATATTTTGTGCCAGACCCTTCTGTCCTCCATGGTTTCTTTTAAGAAATCAGCTGCCAGTCTTATGGTTGTTCCCTTGTAGGTTACTAACTGCTTTCCTCCTGATGCTTTAAAGATTCTCTCTTTGTATTTAACATTTGGCATTTTAATTATAATGTGTCTTGGTGTGGGCCTCTTTGGGTTCATCTTTTTTGGGACTCTGAGCTTCCTGGGGATGTATGTCTATTTCCATCATTATTTCTTCAAATAGTTCTTCAACTTCTTGTTCTCCTTCAGGTACTTCTATGCCCTGGATGTTTTTACATTTAATTTTATCCCATAGGCTCCTTAAATTATTATTATAGACTTGGCTTCTTTTTTCTTATCATTCTGATTCAGTGTCCTTGGCTTTCCCATCCTCTATATCGGTGATTCTATCCTCTTCCTTATCCACTCTGTTGATTCTCTCTAATACACTCCTCATGTCAGATAATGTGTTTTTCGTTTCTGACAAGCTTCTTTTTATAATTTTCATTTCCATTTTTATGTTTTTATCTCTTTGTTAAAGTTCTCACTGAGTTCATCTACACTTCCCCTAAGTTCACTGAGCATCCTTATAACCAGTGTTTTGAACTCTGCATCTGTTAGATTGCTTGACTCCATTATTCCTGGATCTTTGCTCTATTCTCTCATATGGTTTCCCCTTTTTTGTCTTCCTATTTTGGCTGCCTTTCTGTCTGTTTCTATATACTAAGTAAAGCTGCTAAGTCTCCCAGTCTTATTAGCATGGCTTTGTGTAGTAGGTGTCCAGTGGCACAGTCCTGAGGTGGGGTTCAGCTGTAGACCAAGTTTAGCCCCAGGCTGTGCCCCTCTGGAGACATCTGTTAAGATTCAGCAAGCAATCCACAGATGTTGTGTTTTTAGTTGCTTCAAGAGGCCACGCCAGAAACCGAGGTCAGCTGCCACCAGTGTGAGTCTTGGAGTTGGTTCAACAAGGGGCACAGGGCACACAGAGGACACAACTGGATGTGGCTTGGTTGGGGCCTGAGTTGGGGGAGGCAGAGTTTCAGGGAATTCTCTGGGCAGAGTGACCTCCGTTATCCAGTCTGATGACATCTCAGCTATGGTGGGGCTGGGCCTGCACTCTGGGAAGGGGGAGGGCTCAACAGACGAACAGTGGATACCGCTGGCACGTCTATACAGAGTGAATCTCGCCTAAGCCCTCAGTCCGACAACTCAGTGTTCTCCTGTAGGTCCCTGTGCAGCCAACTCGGCACTGCTGCTGAGAGCGAGCAGGTCTGTCACCAGGAAAGTCTGCTTGCGAACACGGCTCCTTTAAGAGGCATCTGTAGCTGCTGTAGCCTCTGTCCCACTCAGGTTCTTGGGACCGGGGAGCTGCCTCAGCCAGGGTGATTTCTTATTTCTCTTCCTAGTTATAGTGCTTCTGTTCATCTAGATCCCAGGCTACTATGCTTGCTGTTTGCTCCATGTTTCTATCACAACTTTGATTTGGTTGCAAGAGGGATGAACAAAGCCTCTATATTCTACGCCATTTTTTTCTGTTGTCTCCTAGTGTCAAGGAAGCACTTCATAAATATATGTTAAATTAGTGAATATCCAGTGGTTTTATCTCCAGTGAGATCATCTTTTTCTGATTTGATAAAATATTTTGGTCATTATATAGATTTAGTTTTAATTCTACAAGTAAAAACAACAGACACCAGCTTTAAAAAAAAAGGCCAATACCTTAGGCGATATAAACTGTTTACAAAAATAAAAATCAATATATAGATGATTGAAGCAGGTTTAGAGTTTAAAATAACTGACCTACCTAAAAAAATAACAACTATTTATTTGGCAGGATACCTAATCAGTACTGCACAGTAATAATATTAATGAAATCAAGAGAGGTAAGTTATGTGTTGATCATGGAAAGTTGGCATTTTTGTATTTCCCACTTTGCTACTACCACCTTTCACATGCTGTTTTCAGTGTGGCCAGTAAGCTGTCATGGCAAAGAAAAAGGAGAAGGAAAAATGACTAGTGAGAATAGGAGGGGTATAGTCTCTTCTGTTTTGGGGAATCTGAGCAAGGCACAAGTTCCATTGCCATATTCAAGCCTTATGTGTGGAAACAGTAAGTTTTTTTTCTTGTTGCCATTTAAAAAATAATAATAATAGTAGCTTATAATTAATAAATACATAGTATTGCTGGGTAAAGTACTAAGTATATTATATGTGTTATTGCATTCAATAAGCACACAAGTTTTAGGAGGTAGGTACTGGTTATTCCCAGTTAAAGCTGAGGAAAGAGGCTCAGAGAGGCTAAACCATCATCACAAGTTGCACAGCTTGTAAGTAGAGGAAAAAGACTAAGCATCTATGTCTAGAAGTTTCGTTCCTTTCTTTTTAATTTTGTTTTTAATTGTGGTAAACTACATATATCATAAAATTTATCATCTTAACCATTTTAAGTGTACTGTTCAGTAGTGTTGTGTATTCACATTGTTGTGCAACCATCGTCACCATTCACCTCCAGAACTCTTTCCATCTTGCAACACTGAAACTCTATATCCATTAAACAACAACTTCCCATTTCTGCCTCCCCATACTTTCTGTATGATTTTGAATACTCTAGGTACCTCATATACATAGAATTGTACAGTATTTGTCTTTTTGTGACTGGATTATTTCACTTAGTATAATGTCCTAAAAGTTCATCCATGTTGTAGCATAGGTAAAGATTTCCTTCCCTTTTTAAGGCTGAATAATATTTCATTGTATAGATATAGCAAATTTGTTTATTCATTCATTCACTGATGAACGCTTGGGTTGTTTCCACCATTTGGTTATTGTGAATAATGCTGCTATGAATGTAAATGTACAAATATCTGTTCAAGACCGTGCTTTTAATTATTTTGGGTATATATATACATATATATATCCAGAAGTAGAATTGCTGGATCATTTGGTAATTCTACTTTTAATTTTTGAGGAACTGCTATACTATTTCAGAGCCTTTATCTTTACCACTAATGATCTACTGCTTTCACACTGGCCACCTATGGTGACAACAAGCAGGAAAGCACTTTTCCCTTTATATAAAAGAATCAGCTTGATTAGCCATGACTCAATAAACAATTAGGAAACTTTCATTAATACTAATTATTTCACTCTTAAGGAAGCAAATGAGGCAGGAAATAATTTCTATCAGGATATCAAAATGAAAATCACACAAAAGGAAGCCTTATCTAAGATTTTTTTTCTGTCTAATGTATATGAGTATTCTTTCAGATACTATAGCACTTCCAAGAACTTTGAACTATGTTATTTATTTTCTAGTCACTTCTCTGATAAAAATACCTATGTGACATTGGGCAAAGTCACCTTCCCCACTGCACTTCAGCTTGTTGGAACAGGTGACACTAAAAGTTTTAGTGGTATGACCTTAGACAAGTTATTTAACCTCTTTAAACTTCATTTGTAAAATAGAGACAATGGTAAGACTTACCTAATTAGGTGTAGGAAAGTTTAAGTGAATATAAAGTTTTATTAGCCCAATACCTGGCATATTATAAATGTTTAGTAAAGAGAAGTTGCTATTATGATTATTATTTTCAAGATTTTATATGTAAAAGAAATAGAAACATTGGTTCACATAAAGACTTGTACATATATGTTCATAGTAGTTTTATTTATAATAACCAAAAACTATAAACGGCCCAGAGATCCTTCAATGGGTTGTTAAACAGCAGTACATTCATAACATTCATACAATACTACTTAGCAAAAAAAGGAACAAACTACTGATACACACAAGTTTGACAAAACCTTAAAGCATTATGTTGAGTGAGAAAAGTCAATTCCAAAATGTCATATACTGTATTATTTTATTTACCTGAAATGGCCAGAAAGACAAACCAGACTAGCAATTGCCTGGGACTAGAGTGGAAGTAGGTGAGGATTAACT